TCTGTACTTTTCAACTCAATCCTCCCTAAAAAATCCAATCAATTCAGCAATGTCGGCCTTAACAGACCAACCTAGCCCTAAATCCTTTTGTGGCGTGTATTTGCTTAAGCGGAGAAAGAAAGAGGAGATTGTGATATGGAGAAAAGAGCAGAAGCTCTGGTGTCGATCCAAGGAGGAAGACGAGGCAGGAAAGGTCAAGCAAGAAGAAGGATTTGGTTGTGGGATCGGCTACAGCATGTAAAACTTCTCGATTCTTTTTTTCTTTCTTCTTTTCATTATGAAACGATTAATTAGTCTTGATTATCGATTCAATGATTTTCCTAATTTCTCTATTCTCCTTCTGAAATCTCCACTTCTGTCGACTGTCGCTCTCTCTCACCGATTTTGATTTGATTCTCGAGCTTCAATCATTATCAATTCATTGGTTTTGATGTGATTCTCGAGCTTCAATCATTATCAATTCATTTGTTTTGGGGCTTATATAACTTTTTTTGATTATCTGATGTATGCGTTTTCTGATTACAACTTCTCTTGTTTTCTTAATTTTTGATTATCCAAAGGCAAAGATTTCTCAGCATAGTATTGAGGTTGTTTCTAACTGAGTTGATTTTTTTCTGTTTTTAATGAGCGATGATTTCTACAAATTATTTTCTGAATTGCTGATTATAAGTCGTATTAATTTCTGATTATCCAGAGGCAAAGAAGTGATCTTTCTGATAGAAAGACTAGACATTTAGAGGGATTTGTCACCTGAGTAGCAGTAGACCAAATGTGGCCATGGATATTCCTTTGATTTTGTTTTTCTTTCCTTTGTTTTGACAAAAATTCAATGGAGTGTTGATGGGTTTTGGGTTTGATTGTTCTTGATAGAAATGGATAAATGGAATGGATTTTTGGGGTTAATGTTTTACAGGAAATTGTTTGTTTTGCTTGACAGAATTCGATGTGGTGTTTATTACTTGAAATTGCCATGGAAAGAAGATTAAGCAATAATAATGAGTGGTTGTATTTCTCATTTGCAGGTATACATGAAATCAAGAACAATAATGTTCTTGTTTTCTTGGCTGGGAAGGGTACATATGAGACTTACAACATTCTACTGGAATGGAATCTTGAATTCCGATTATGTCAGAATAGAATCTTGAAGATGAACATTCTATGGGATGAAGATGAACAATGACCACCAATCTTCCAAAAAGAATGGATTATTCTAGCAGAATAATATACAATATAATAAAAAGAAATATATGTAATAGTATATTCTGGTAGAATGATTTATATATTTGTATTTCTTTGTTATTAATAAGTGTAACATTCTCATAGAATAGTATATAAATTTTTTTCTTTTCTAAGAATGTAATGAAATTTTTTTTAACTTGTATCCAAAATTTTGTTATTCTTCAAGAAGTTCATTAAATCAAAATATATATTATGTCAGAATGTGTATTCTTGTATGGTTCAATAATTTTTGTTATTTTTCTATATATTGATAAACATATTCCGTCAGAATTTCCGAATTAGGAGAATTATTATCCATACAATCAGATTTTTAAAATTAATAGAATCTATTTTCCCTTAAAATATGTAAATTTCCTTTATTAAATCTATATTAACTGACTAAAATACCCTTCTAGTTAAATTAGATGGTATTTTTCAATTATATTTAATTCAATAATATGTAATAATCACTTTCTTAAAATAAGTAAAATGAGTGGCCCACAATCATTCATACAATAACACAATAATTGGTTAGAATATAATAACCTAAGCATATATATATATATATATATATATATATATATATATATATATATATATATATATATATATATATATTATAAGGGTATAAAAGTAATTTCAAATCTACAATACCAAAATCATTAAAATCGAAGATTGGACCACCTGCAATATAATTTTAACAAAACATTTTTGCAATTTTGTTGGCGGGAAGGATATATACCATTAAATATAATACAATAGTTCTTGCAAAGTTGTTAATTTTGACCATTGTATTTCTCAGAGTACAGTAGAGATCATTTTGATCATTATTTATCTTTCACAAACATAATTCAAACACAGCAAATTTTATCATATTTCTTGCTTTATTTCAATTGTATTTCACACACATACTTCAAACACATCAAATTAGCACAACAAATTGTATCAGAGCTAATGAAGGGAGGACTTTTTTGATTGATGGTACTGTTTTTCAGAGTTCTTGATTGCTGATTTCAAAGGGGATCGATCAAGAGGTGAAAGACAAAGGTGATCGGTCAAGAACAAGGCAGAACTTCAGAATTCAAATTTCACAGCATTTGGGTGCGTTTATTTTTGGAAGTTTTCTTGGAAATTTTGCAATTTCGTATTTAGGTAACAACACGTTCAAATTATTTTCTATTTTGGTTGAGTTGTCGTTGTTTGAGGTTTGTAATTTGATTTTGGGGCCCCTCTACCAATAATGTTTGTACGGAGATAGAGTTCGAAACATTGCACACAAGGTGTTCGATAAAAATCCTCAGTGAGATTACATTGTTTTTTATGGCTTTTCTTGCATAGATTATGGTTCCTCGGTTCAAAATGCGAGTTTTGCTAGAACAACATTCCTCTATAAATAGAGATTTGAACCTATTCCTTTTTTACTTGAGTCTCTCCTGAACAATTGAAGTTGCTACAATTCCAACTTGGGGAACATCACGTTCATATGCATGTTATGGCTAATGCAATTTCTTATTGAAAGTGTCTTTTTGTTTTAGACGTTGAAGTTAAAGGAAGACATTATATTAGCCATCATCCTGCTCATGAATATGATGTTACTCTAACGTCATACCAAAAATAAAAAACAGCCTTAGGGGGTGTTTGGCTTAGCTTTTGAGAGGCCAAAAGTCCTTTTAGGAAAAGATGAAAGATAAAAGATGTTTGGCAAAAGACTTTTAAAAGCTACTTTTGGATTTTGGATAGAAGGAAAATCAACTTTTTGAAAAAGTCAGGAAAACCTGACTTTTTGTAACTTTTCCAAAAATGACTTTTGGGCTCTAAAAAGCTAAGCCAAACACCCCCTTAATACAAAAAATACCACAATCCCAACAAAAGCATTAAAAGACTCTAGGGATAATGACTTGAAAGGGTAACGAACTTTCGACTTTGTTCACATTTAGTCACTAAACTTTTTTTCGTTATCTATTTGTCATTGAACTATTGAAACTGTTCACATTTTACCCTTATGACCGGCTGTTACCGGTCATAAGGGTAAAATGTGAAAAATTTCAATAATTTAGTGGCAAATAGATAACGAAAAAAAGTTTAGTGACTAAATGTGAACAAAATAGAAAGTTTGTTTCCCTCTAAAAAAGTTCAATGACTAAATGTGAACAAACTTCCTATTGTATTATGTTTTAGCAAATTATTTATTTTTGTTAAATTCTAGCAACATTTGTTGATAAAGAAATCTATGAAATAAAAAAAACAAAACCTTGAAAATATATTTAAAAAAAAAAACGAAACCGAAATAAAAAACCAATGGTTTGACATTTTCCAAAATAAAAAATCAAAATTTCCAATCTGATTTTGGTTTTACAAAAAAAATGAACTATTCTCACTGATGTGAATTATGACCATTGGTTTGGCATGCGTAATTAAAGAACACACAAAGAACACGGTGATTTGGGTGTTTAAGAGATGCATTCGATTATGAAAGATTTTTACAAAAAATGATCTAGATCTAAATCTACATAATTAACAAACACTAACACTCTCAATGTTACATCTCTCAAGCACACCTCTACATGTGGTATGAACCCACCTTATATAGAAATGTTTACATGTCTCTCTCTCTATCTCTCATGTCATAAAGGGGGAGTTTTGGATAGAAAATTCTGAATTGAGCGTTTTCTCATTCCCTTTTTGCTTTTATAATCATTTTCCGATTATAAAAAGGGGGAGGGATTTAGATATGGAAATCCGAAAATTGGAATTTTTCTAAAACCAAAATTAGATTGGAAAATTGTGATTTTTTATTTTGGAAAATACCAAACCATTGGTTTTTTATTTCGGTTTCGGTTTTTCGTTTTTTTAAATATATTTTTCGGGGTTTTTTTTTTTTTTTATTTCATAGATTTCTTCATCAACAAATGTTTCTATAATTTAACAAAAATAAATAATTTATTAAAACATAATACAAGAGGAAGTCTGTTCACATTTAGTCATTGAACTTTTTAGAGGGAAACGAACTTTCGATTTTGTTCACATTTAGTCACTAAACTTTTTTTCGTTATCTATTTGTCACTCAACTATTGAAACTGTTCACATTTTACCCTTATGACCGGTAACAGCCGGTCATAAGGGTAAAATGTGAACAGTTTCAATAGTTCAATGGCAAATAGATAACGAAAAAAAGTTTAGTGACTAAATGTGAACAAAGTCGAAAGTTCGTTACCCTTTCAAGTCATTATCCCAAGACTCTATACCTAAAACACTAATTAAGTTGATAGAACCTAAATCGCTCATATTTCAATTCAACGTCATTTGTAACATGAATATTTTATATATATTTATTTCGCTTCAACAACATTTGTAACATGTATATCTATTGAAAGTATAATATGCATCAATACAATTCTCAAAATTATATGCAACAATATGAAAACATGCCCCCTTTTTCCTCGATCCAAAGTCACTTTTCAAAACCTTCATATGCATCAATCTATCAGATCTTTTCGATACTTTGATTCCTTTATTATTATAGGAGGGGCTTCCTAGCTACCATAGCCACATAAAACTGAAAACAGAGATGTAAAGTGATTCCTATGAGCACAAGTCAAATGCATAAACTTACACGGTACTACGGTAGTTATTTCCATGATCTGCATCACATCACCTTTCATCAAGGTGCAAAAGAAACAAGAATTACTGCCAAATTTTATGCCTATATATACACACACATACAAGACTTATGTTATGAAGTCGGAAAAAATACCTTGGCTACATACGAAAGACGACCACTTTTAAGGGATATGTTGCAAATGAAGACGCCATTCATCAATAAATGCCATTTTCTCTTGATCAATGCTTGGCAGTTCATGCATTTCAAGTCTTTTTATTATCTCAGTAGTCCTACCAAGAAGCTTAGCTGCAGCCTCAACACTATCCTCCCGTTTCTCTATTGCACTTTCATGGCATTTCATTGTTATGACTCGTGGAATGTTGGTGAAGCAAGCAACCAATATGTCTGCAATCATGTGAGATAATAGAGCAAACAACTGTTCTTCAGTGATCCCTAAGATGTTACTTTGGTAGGTAAGCATGACTGAATGTGCAATTCGGTACATTGAATTTTGCAACAATTAACTTCCGTGGAAGGTATTCCACCGGTTCTCCTCCATTTGTGCTTTTGCTAACTTCTATCACAATTTCTTCTGCTTTGTGAGCAAACCATTCAAGAATCTCTCTTGATGTTTTTCCTTCGTAAAGTGCTTTTTCCCAAGCTGTTCTCTAACCACTTGTTGTTGTCTTCTACCTCATCCCACAATGACATAGCTGCCTTTTGAATGTTTACATACCGACGTTCATTGTTCAAGCTTTCCTCAACAATATGGGTGTAAAAAAGTCCTTCACCAACACATTTGAACAAGCTATTCGTTACATCCTTACCAATATTCGGGAGAGCAGCAGCGATGCACGTAAATGTTACTATTGGTAAGCTCCAGCTGTTAGGAAGTTCAATAGAAAGTAGAGGTTGAACTTGATAAATGTCAAATTTCTCTACTCCCTCAAAACCTATAGAATTTTCAAGAAACTTTAGGAGATTGTTGTCTTGTTCCTTCTCATTCTTTTGAATCAAGCGATTCATGGAGTTTAATATTCGTTCAAGTGTTCTTCCAGCAAGCTCCATATTGATGATGGCGACGGTGGTGGTGGTGGTGGCGGTGGCAGCGGTGGTGGTGATGACAGGCGGTGGTGGTGACAGCGGCAATTGTTGCAGTGGTGGTGATGGCGACGGTGATAGCGGCGGTGGTGGTGTTCGTGATGGGGTAGTGGTGGTGGTGATGGGGTAGTGGTGGTGGTGATGGCGATAATAGGTCGATGATTGTGGTAGTGGTGGTGGGTGTGTGTGTGGGGGTGTGGGTGTGGAGTAGGGGTGGGTGTGAGTTTGTGTGTGTGTGTTTGTTTGTAGGGGTATGGGTGGGGGTAGGTGTGTGTGTGTGTTTGTGGGGGTTGGTGTGTGTGTGTGTGTGTTTGTAGGGGTGGGCTTGGGAGTGAGTGTACGTAGGTAGGGGTGTAGTGGGTTGGGGGTATTAAGGTGATGGTAGGTAGAGGTAGATTGGGGTGGGAGTGGGTGTTTATATTTTAGAAAAAAAATTTGGAATTAGAAAAATGTGGAAAACAATGATTATCGGTTTTCCAAAAATTTTCAACTTCTTTGTAATTTTAGAAAACGGAAAATTTTCATTTTCTGTGAAAAATTTAGAAAAATAGACAAACTAAACGCGTTTTCAAAATTCTCATTTTTCTTGAAAAAATTTTCCGGTCCATTTTTCCGCAACTAAACGCATCATAAGTGTTTTTATAAAATCTTTAAAAATCAGCTTATTGTGTTAGGAATAAGCTAAATAAGCTAATTTTAATAAGCATCTCCCCTTGTTGATTGCTTATTCCCATCACAAATAAGTTAATAAGCTAGTCCAAACACCCCCTCATATTCTTTTTCGTCAAGAAGTTGAACCAGGGATTGAATCATTTGTGATTGAGTTGCCCAAAATGTTCTTGCTAATCTCCTTTCAAACACCTCTCGTCTTCCTTAGAAAACTCTCCAACCTCTTTTCTACCTCCGGCGATTCACCACTCGTACGACTACCACCTCCACTTCCGACAACCACCCTTACGTCCGAGGACACCTACGACCACCAACAACAGCAAAAAACACCCACACGCTTTTTGCATCTGGCCGGAGTTAGGATTTCAAGATCTACAAGCGATTTCGGGAACTCAATATCTTCAAAATGATTTCTGGTTTACTAAACTGGTGGAAATCAAAACCCGAATTGCACCTACAACTGTACAACAACATCAATATATCAAGCCTGAAACTAAAAATTGAAATCAAATCAATGGGATTCAAATCAAATCTGAAAACTTAACACTGAACTTCAAAATAAAATGTGAATGCGAACCTGAATTTGAAATTAGACATGAAACTAAATCAAACATGAAATTGAAAATCGGACCAAAAATCTAACCTAATCGGTGTGGTAGGATGTTGACGGTAGTTTTCTGTCCATTCTTACACTGATCCAGGTTTGGCAGGAAGACAATAAAGGCTTTTCCGCAAGCAAATGAAGACAGGGTCGGTGTTTTCTTGCGATTGGAATAGATGAGGAAGACGAAGGTTAGAGGGAAAATGACTTGCGAGAATTATCGTACGTTCACATTTAAGAAACTTGTTTATTATTATTATTTTATATATTTGATTATTTAATTTGTTATATGTGTTCACGTATTATTATTATTTTTCTTTTATATATTATTATTCCAAAATTTCAACCTTAATACATAAATACCACAACTCAAACAAAAGTATTAGAAGATTTATATTTCAATTCAATATTTGTAATATAAAAAATGTCTATCAAAAATATATTATAATATGGGTACACTTCTCAAACAAAAGTATTAGAAGATTTATATTTCAATTCAATATTTGTAATATAAAAAATGTCTATCAAAAATATAATATGGGTACACTTCTCAAAACTATATGCAACATTATGAAAATATACCTCCTCTTCCCGATCCAAAGCTTCACTTTCCAAACCTTCACATATAAGGTTCGTTTGATACTCTCCAATGTTTTATAACTACAATAGGTGCTTCATGCCACAACCCATTGATGAAGGAGCACTAAGATATAAAGAGATGCCCGTGAACACAAGTCAACTGCAACATGTGTTAATTTTATGACATGGATCACATCACCTTTCAAGGTGCAAAAGAAACAATAATTACTATATTATATATACTCATCAAGGTTGTAAAAAACGCTCGATGTTAGCTAATCGGTGGACTGAGGTTAAGGGATTAATCAGTTAGGCGGGGATTAATCGGAGGATTAAATGGGGACCATTAATTGCTAACTCGTTAAATTTTCAAAAATTAAATATGACTAATAATCTAATATCATAACAAAGTTCGTAAATACCACTAATATCTTAATAAAATAGGTTAATATGATTAATACAACATTAATAATTCCTCAAATGGTTTCTATTAAGATAGAACTTCTTCAAAGTGTTAAAATTTCATCTTTTTCTACTATTTCAGTCACTTTGTAGGTAAGGATTAATCGCTAGGCGCCCTCTAATCGGTCGGGTAGCGTCTAGGAATTAATCAGAGATTAATCGGGACCTAATCGGGATTTTTACAACACTGATACCCATACATAGAAGAATTGTGTTATGAAGTTAGAAAAATTACCTTGGCTCCATATGAAAAAACAAGGAATTCTAAGGGATACACAGCAAATGAAGACGCCATTCATCAATAAATGCCATCTTATCATGATCAATGCTTGGTAGTTCATACATTTTAATTCTTTTTATTATCTCAGTGGTCCTACCAAGAAGCTTAGCTGCAGCCTCAACACTAGCCTCACGTTTCTCTATTGCACTTTCATGGCATTTCATTACAATGACTTGTGGCATGTTGGTGAAGCAAGCAACGGCCTCACGTTTCTCTATTGCACTTTCATGGCATTTCATTACAATGACTCGTGGCATGTTGGTGAAGCAAGCAACCAATATGTCTGTATTCATGTGAGATAATAGAGTAAACAGCTGTTCTTCGGTGATCTCTAAGATGTTACTTTGGTAGGTAAGCATGATTGAATGTGCAATTCGGTGCATTGAATTAGCAACAATCAACTTCCTTGGAAGGTATTCCACCGGTTCTCCTTCATTTAGGCTTTTGCTAAATTCTATCACAATTTCTTCTGCTTTGTGAGCAAACCATTCAAGAATCTCTCTTGATGTTTTTCCTTTGTAAGCGTTTTTTTCCAAAGTTTTCCCTAACCACTTGTTGTTGTCTTCTACCTCATCCCACAATGTCATAGCTGCCTTTTGAATGTTTACATACCGGCATTCATTGTTCAAGCTTTCCTCAACAATATGGGTGTAAAAAAGTCCTTCACCAACACATTTGAACAAGCTATTCCTTACATCCTTACCAATATTCGGGAGAGCAGCAGCGATGCACGTTAATGTTACTATTGGTAAGCTCCAGCTGTTAGGAAGTTCTTGATAAATGTCAAATTTCTCTACTCCCTGGAATCCAGTAGATTTATCAAGAAACTTTAAGAGGTTGTTATCTTGTTCCTTCTCAGCCTTTTGAATCAAGCGATTCATGGAGTTTGAAATTCGTTTGAGTGTTCGTTCAGCAAGCTCCATATTGTCTTCCAGCAACAAAACACACTTCCTTAGGTCTTCATCTATGTAGTCACTGCTAGAGGGTGGACTAAGCATAATTTCTTTCAATGACTTGAAATAATATGAACAATGCATGAAAATAAGTAGAACTACCACGGGGATGAGCCCTATAATTTTACATGTTACCACAACTGCCTTTTGAAATCCAATCAGAGTGCTCAGAATGAGATTTTTGAAATTACGCAGAAGACTTTTTACTCTATGGCAATCAGATAGAAAAGTTATACGACTTTCTTTCCATTCACACAACTTTTGAGTCCAATACTTCTCTACTTTAAAGACCTCCAAATGGTTCCTATTCCACCCAGCAAAAGATTTGAAGCTCACGACCATAAAACTTCTACATATTGGCGCAATAACACCCACAACTCCAATGGACTGAATGATAAAAGTGGCAACCATTGACCACTTATAATCCGACAGGGATCTTAGCCGAATTGGTGCTACAGAAATTGACACCAGAAGATGTGTGTATATGGCTACAGCAATTACACAAATTATGCCCGAAGCACAGGATAACGGAGAACTAGCCATCATAAATTGAGGACTACCGGTTTCTGCCATGATCCAGTATCTTTTCACATGTTGTCTTAGCTTCTCAATATCAAATTTATCTTGAGGACAATGATTATATAATATGGTTTTGCTAATGGCTTGATACTTGAGTTCTAAAATTTGCTTAGATAATGGAACTGTTATAGCAGAAGATATCAAAAGTATTAGTAAGAAGAGTAACAAAGCCACGTAGATGCATCCTACATCCATGAAAGTGTATCTATCAAGAGCCGTGCTAATACCAATAGCAACTGGCACAATAACACCGGTATTAATCTCCATACATATATTCACAATTATGGTGATAATGAGAATGGCCAAACCTATGACATTTGCAAGAAGTGACTTGTTGTCCATAGACGCCAAAGAAGGCATTAAGTTAGCCATCATCATGCACATAAAAACTAAGCTCCCCTGCTTAGCTGCTTGGTCCAAAAACCCTGGCATTGGACTATTCAAATCCACAGGCAGTTTCATTGCGACAGCTATCACTGTGATAGAAACAGCATTTAGAGAGAAAAGTTTACTTGGAAACCAGAATTTCCTTTTTCGAAAACCAGTGAACAAATCAACTACCATAGCAAGAACGCAAAATAATGATGCTATTGAGATGTAGATGCCAATCCATGGCAGAGGCTTGTTGTACTTGTCTTCAATTTCCGAAATAGTTATTTCCTCACAGAAATACTGCAAAGCTGAGATGCTTTCTTCAGTGAGGTTTACAAGTACGCCCGAAGAGGATCGATCTCCATTATCAAATGATGATACAATGTCATAACAGTGCAAAGTGGAATCATAAGATGAACCCATGTTCAAAATACCTAGTAAAGTAAGATGTAACTTGATGCTAATTGTTCAC